TTTCTGGACATTTTTTCACATCATAGTGCACAAAAACCCCTTTAATATGTGCCAGTGATCCTTGTACACTCTTGATAATGTAACAACACAGTGAATCTGCTATCTAACGTTATATATCATTATGACTGATATATATGTATATGAGGACTGGGCAAAATCAACGTTTTTTTTTAAATGATGGCATTCTCTGCACACCCCCATGTCCCAAATAGAACAGTCCTCATTCCATGCAATGTTTCTAAAACACAGTTCTGGGCATACCTGCATGTGTTTTCCCCCAGGAGGGCTGTATGTAAACCCAGGTATTGTACCACCCCTCCCTTCCCCTTTGCTTGCATGACAGCCCTGTCGGTATAATGTAGCCTTGCCATTGGTTGGATTGATGTGTTTCGCCTCGGGATATAACTGAGGGCACCTCTGCTATCTTACAACAATCGTCAGTATCCACACAATCGCCGTATCTTTCCTGACTCCTACATGTAGGTGGGATTGCTAGGCTTATAGGATTCAATTTCTGCTGGTAAGTTTCAACAGCCTCTCCTCTACTATGTGTATAAGACTCATTTCTCTTCAAGTAGTTTACCGGTAGACCACAAATTCTGTAAGGACAGATGCCTTTGTGTGCTTACCGTTACGTATGTTTACATGTACAAATGTAATTTGAAAATTGCGGCTTATGCAGGAAGTGTTTGGGCCAGGAAATTTCTGTGCTAACTGTTCAGGATGTTACAGGGGATTTCTGGCAGTAGAGACTATAATTCACTTTACGTTCACGGTAGCAAAATTTCATGGTCAAAGAAAAATAGAGGTGTTCATGCAACCATATATTCAAAGTGGTGATAGTTGCACTGGAAAAAGAAAGTTGGCGATTGATTTGTTAGCTGTAAATGATAAGTTTGTGGTACAGAAGTACTAGTAGCTGTGTAAGCTGTTAACATAAAAGTACATTGACAAAAATCAGGCATTACAGTATTCTCACAGCAGACTAGTACACTCTGTGTCTGTAGATGTTAAGTCATGTGGGAATAACGGATGGCCATGTGGGTAGAACACATGACCTCACGCCCATGTATAACCTGTAGGAATGGAGAATTATTACAGATAAGGGGGACGTTAGGTTAGAAAGTATTGATCAAGGATGAGCACAGATGTTTCCAAGTGATAAGCTCCCAACATTCATTCTGATGCCACTTGCTGGGGCGATACCGTTAATGCATTTGGTACCAGATTGTAATCTCAATCTACCTTTAACGATCAACGTACCAAATATCACAACAGGAATGTAAACATGCTTGATGACTAAAGTGTGAATCAAAGCTGCAATATATAAGGTTTAGTAGATAATAGATAAGTTATGTTTTAAGTATAGAGAAATTTATATTCCTTATAGTCTTCGATAAACCAACTCTAACTAATCATACGCAGCCACCTAC